AAATGGAACAAAGGCAGAAGGACAGAGAGATATGCTTAAATCGATTCCGAATTTTTGATGCTAACCAAGAATATGTAGAATGGTTTTTGACGTCTCTGAAGATTTTTTCTGAGCGTTGCAAGCGCTTTAACAAACTGAATATATCCAATCGTCCATCGAGCAGAACGGAAAAATTCTTTGTGAAAGTTAAGAACAAAAGTACAATGCACAATATTCAGCAAAAATACGGTAAGCAAACGAAACGAATTCAACAAAGGAAATCAACAATTTCAAATCATCTTACTTGAGTAAATTTAAATTAACCGGTGTAACAGCTAAGACGGGCGCGACGAGCAGCAGTTTTGAAATTTCCCCTTTATAAAATCAATACTTTTCGATATGATTCGGACACTATTCGATATATATGAAATTTTATTGTTAAAAGATGCCAGTGTCAGCTTATGAACGATTTTAATAATTATTTTGTTGTGCATTCTTTGCAAAAGGTTGAGGTGCCAATTGAATCCATGCTCTCCACACAAGATATACGTGCAGTAATATTGCATGACAAATACCCTTAAGGGGTAGCCTCATTGTCATAGCTTAAGAGAAGAGTTTTTTTTTTTGATGGAAGGAAAGCTGATGCGATAATAATATCTTAATCATATATTTGACTGCTGCAAAGCTGCATCTGAAAAGTAAAAAACTTTATTTAATCTGCATACCCATAGGTAGTGAGACAAGTGGTGGATTTCAGTTCAGTTGTGTTCGATCGGTGAGTGTATTCCATTATTTAAATTAACGTATCAAAAATCCCTTATGTAATGCCCTGAAGAGTACTATTTAAAAGATGCAGTGCAAGAATTCGAATGAGAAGAATGAAGATAGCGTGTTGCGCTTAAACTTTTTACGTGCATGCGAGCTGTGTGCTCGTTAAAAATATATGTTTTTTTTTTATCTAAAAGTATGTTTGGTCGAATATCTACGAGTTTTTGTTGTGACCGCTTAATTGCATTCTTGTCTAGCTGTCGACTACTACCGGAAAGAAATTGGCAAACATCTTTTCTTTATGAAAGAATTCACCTGATATTTGGGAACGTGAAATTTAGTTTTTACAATTTTGTCATATTTAAAAAAAAAAAAAAAAAAATCGTTGACAGCACTTTCTAAATTCTGCTGCATTTCCCAGCGACGAGCATCGAAACAGCATTGCCAGCAAAACAGGCACATATGGAAGATTAAACTTGATGGATATATGAGCAGTTTGGTAAGTACAGTAATGCAGAAACTCAGCAAGCAGGCTTATCATGTAAGTAAGAAAGCTTTTTATTTATTTAAACCCACAGTAAAAAAAGTTGACAATATTTTAAAGAAATTTTCATCATTTTTTCTAAATATTCCAAGATACTAAAGTTCAGCAACATAACGATAAGACCGTTGTACGAGAGGATATCAAAGGCTCTTTCAATATTTGAAAAAAAAAACAAAAAGGATGGCGGTCGAGGTTTACTTCTCTATCTTGCATTTAAGACGATTTATTAATCGATGCCCGAAGCCATGGTGTTAATCGGAAATGTTTCTTGGTAGATGGGGAAGGAAAAAAGAGAGCAGTATTTGCCTACTTGCAATAATGAGTTGTGCAGTATATGGGCAATTCGAAGATGAGATGAGAACACGCATGAGAACGTCGTGGTGCATATGGTCTGGAAGAGCTTATAGCCCGTCTGATTCCACAAATTAGTCCCACATGAATATGCATCGTGGTTACTTGAATTTTCGATACCCTAATCCATCCACTATGATTTAGCAGCTTTGTCCTTCAAATTAAGCGGAAATGGTAAACTTACTCGCAAATTGCTTCGTTTTTGTTATGGTATTCGAAAAGCTCAAAGTTCCCTCAAAAGCATTTTCGGTACGACTTGGCATGATCATGTATGCAGTTGTGTATTGTTTAAAGATTTGAAGGAGGAGGGAATCGCAGCTTTACTCTACACTCTACAGTACTGCTTATGAGAAGACGGATCGAACTAATTTAATTCTACGAATATTGACATAAAATATTTAGAAATTACTCATCGCTAACAGGGTCCACAAATTGTAATAATCCGGGCAATAATTAAAATAAAATATAAATTGTATGATATTTAAGAGGTAAAAAGTGCAAGTTTCAATATTTTAACTAATTAAAAATAATCAAAGATATATATATATATATATATATATATATATATATATATATATATTTTTTTTTTTTTTAAAATAAGATAGATGTTTGTGTCTTGCGAGGCAAACATAGGGTAATTGCATGCATCTTGTTTGTGTGTGTACATAAGTATTATTTTATCTTTGAGTAACAATCGAATGCAGGCAGATAGTCACTTTTAATCAAGAAAAAGCTACAAGTATCAGCAAACATATCGATTTTCATGCGCATCGTTGCTTAAAACAATTCGCATACATCCATCTATACTTAAAAACTCGAACGATATCCTTTTTCATGCGGAAAATTCTTTGTGCACTTGAAATAAAACAACAACAGAAACATCATTTTGCATAGTTTTGCTTAATCAGAGAATTTGTCAAATTAAATGCAAGTGTATGTATAGTCACATTCGCGTAAACGTATACACGAGAATAGCGAATATATATATATATATATATCTATATATATATATCTATATCATACCGTAGACTCAATGAGCTAAAGAGCAGCAGCAACATAAAACATAAAACAAAGCAAATGCATTCATTCAACCATATCGGTACCAAATCTACTTTGAAAATCTGGGATAGTAACTTCTGCTATGCGCTATATATCTTTTTTATGCAACAATCCGAACAAACATTACAGGTTAAATGAGTGAGATTGTAATGAGTATTGATTAATATTTCTCTAATTGTTTCTTAAAATCATGCTTTTATTATAGTAAGTAAAGTTATGCTTAATTCATTTGGCTATGTGCCAATATATATACATATATATATATATATTTTTTTTTTTTTCCAATAGGCAGCGTACTGGCAGCACACTGTGAATTAGTGGTCCTACACTGGGTTCAACCACGCAACCGCTTATGCATTTCCTCGAGATGGACCCGTATGGATCTCTGATCTTTATTATATCATCCTGCCTGTCGTGTCCTCGCCTGAAGTTACCGAATGTTGGCGTATATCATCCGTTTTTCCTGTTCCTCATACATGCTAAAACCGGACAGACGAATACTGTGTGCTGCGCATCGTTCCTTGAGCCTTGGAACAGTTCGCACTATTGAAAAATTTGATTACGAAAAAGTTAAATTCTCTGCGTTTAAGTTGAATGTGTATATCCATCTTCCTTTCGGATCGTTTTCCCTTCGCTGCTGCCGTTCCGTCAATTTGATCTGGCGGATAGCAGCCTTAAGTCTGCCGATATCGCTGCAATTTCCTTTGCCAGTAGTTCCTTCCTTCTTGCTGCTGTGGTTACTTAGCTCCTCTTTCAGTTGTAGGTCGATGAGTAACATTCCCGCCAAGACCGTTACCGCTGCCGTCGAAGGTGTGTTGTAGGCCGACATCATTCTTAACGTGCATAGCCTTCGAACCCGTTCGCAGCTTTCGCCGAAGATACTTTGGAATACCTTCTCCAATCAAATGGATGCGGCTTGCATCATTTCAGCATTGGCTATGCTGCGTTGTAAGTGTTCGGCGGGCCTTGTTTTGGTCCGTTCACGTTTGGCATAATTTTGCATAGAATGATTGTCACTGATAATGCTTTATCCAAAGCTTTCTTGATATGTTTCGCGAATGTTAGTTTAGCTAACTCAAAGTAAAACTAAATTGAATGTAGTATCCACGTCTCTATCCGCCTCACGCTAGGCTGTTACTTCGTTCTACAAATATTCTGGCTTTTTTCTTTGCTTAGAAAGTCTAACTTTTGACATTGCAACTTCAAATATCGCTATGGTGGCTGTGAACCGTGACAATATTAGGATCTTTTTTCTAGCGCAGGCTAGTTTGCTGTGGTTTCCCTTTTTTGGCCAATCAAACAGCCTCGCTCGCCTCGTTCCACTTTATTGACTTGCTATAGGTTCTCTGTATCCCCATTGTCTATACCCAAATGGATGTACTGATGGCTTCGCTTCCTGCCACTGTCCAACGCGCACATCGATCTGTCAATCTTAACGACGCTATACTTATGTCTATTATCGTGTGTTCTGTGCTCCTCTTTGCAAAGTAGGGACGAAGCCATCGTTTAATACAACCAGATCTAATGATGCAATCATTTCATTGAATGCAATGCCTCTTCTGTCTAACTTTTTCGGGGGCCATTCCGGTGACTTGCTATTAAAATCCCCTACTATAATTACTGGGGAGAAGAAGTCCTTTATGTGCTCTGCCAAAACAATCAATTTTTCAGGGAAAGTTTCATAGTCTACGTTTGGGGAGAAGTGCAAAAACTGTAAATAGTAACCCCTGTTAGTCCCGCTACAAAAAAGTTTTCGTTTGCTTCATCTGTTTTCTCGAGTTATAGGCTAATGTTTCCAATATAGATAGTTGCTTTGCCTGTTCTATCCTGGCTGGAGGCAATCGTTTGTGGTTTCATATATGGTTAGCTAAGTAGCTTCACATTTATATTCTCTTCGATTGCTGTTTGCATCATCAAGTTTTGGGCTTCTTTTCCTCTATCTAGATTTGCTTGAAGAAATCTAATTTTCATTATGCAGGGTTTTGTTGCACCCTACGCGACAATCTCTAGCCAGATGTCACATCTCTAGGTATCGGACGCATATTTTCTTGACTTCTTTTTCCATTCTCCGGCATTGAAGGCATCGTATTTTGATTTTGCTAACCTTCAATAAGTGGGAAGCTCTCGATGTTATAGCCCCTCTTTCATTCCCCGTTGTTACATATTCTAATCGTCTACCTGTCTAATTTACCGCCAGTGTTTAAAATGCCATCGATTATCTCTGCCTTCTTGACTGCTTTACCCATGTTTCTTACATCTCGTAAGCTTTCCGTGTTTTTTTTTTTTTTTTGAGATAATCTTTTCTCCCATTGTGCATGGCAATGCCTTTTGCAGCTTACTGGCTTTGCCATCTCTTTTTTTCAGCTAAAGAACTAGAAGGTCTCCAGCCTTTGTTCTGCGAATTTTGTCTACGTTAATGCCTTCTTTATCAGGCTTCATCTCTGCCTTCATTTGCTTCATGATGTCGGCGTAGGAGCTCTTCAGATTTTGACGAGCAGGTTGCTACTTGCGTCGCTGGGCATTTTGTACGTAAATTTATATCTACATCTATAACTATATATAGAGAGAAGCGTACGGATTTTATAGGTATTAAGAAAATCCTATTATAATTGTTGTTGGTATTTTATAGTTTGTACTATTGTTTGCATAAATGAACTATTTTAGCGTTGTTGCTTTGGTTGTTGATCGTGATGATGAACAAATTGGCTTTTATATTCAACAGCAAAAATTATATGCCAGAGTCATTGTATTGTGTCTGCCTTGTCTGCCATTGTTTTTCCCGGCAAATGATTACATTATATGCATATGGTATATGTAGAGATACGTTCATAGACACAAGCACCAACAAGCACTCGAAGGGAAATAATAGTAATCTGTGACAGGAAATTAAAACAACAAAAGAAAAACAATCAATAAAGAGAAAACAAAAAAAAAAAAGAAAAAAATTAGTGAACATAAGGTTTTGAAGACACATAAGATACAGGTTGTATATAAATGATTCCATTTCCCTAGGGAAACCCCTTTTCTTATGGTGGGGGCAAGGGGGGAATGCATCACATTCTGATAAACAATCGTGTTATAACCAGGTTTACAACGGAAAATATAATAAGATTGCGTTAGTAATGAGTAGTGATGAAGTACGGTTTCGAAGGCAAAAAGTGAATTAGAAAAATCTTGATTTTCGTCTCTCCTCTCCTTACCAATAAAAGTGTAGAATTGCTTTCAACAAGAACACTAACAAACAATAGTTTTGGGGCTTTTTAATTGATAAAACGCATCGATATACAAATTAGTTTTCATCACTAGTCTCTCTGCTGTTATCACTAAAAAGGAAACAAAGAAGACATTTTCTTAGTATTGATCTCATTGACGTCGTCTTATATGTATGGAGACTATTTTCTTTTGTGAAAATATTTTCATAGAATAAAAGAATTTCTATTATTTTCATTTTGCATTAATAAATTTGATTAAGATAAGACAAAAACACATCATTTACACAATCCATTTAAATCTTTTCTTTCTTTCAATTTTTTTATGAAAGAAACCAAAACGGAATGAATGAATGACTTTTCTTCGATCATATTTTTTAATAAAATTCTTTTCCAATAAGAATATAACACCCATACACAAACACACAAACACACACACGTATACATATATATATATATATATGTAATGTTTGATTTCATCTTGCGTTAGACAAATTTGTAAAAGCATCGATATGCAAAAAAAAAAAACAAGTTAAAAAATATATATATTTGAAGCAAACACTAATAATTGAATCGTCTGAAAAGTAATTGGCGTTTACAGTGTACCCACGAAGGGAAAAATAAGAATCCCGACGATTCCTTTAAGGACAGAAAGTGTTCAAGTGTTACAGTGTCGCAAAGTAATTCTACGCCCATTTTTCACATGTAAAATTATCAAAAAATATATATTAGGGCAGCGATTCCAAACGTAAATCTTAACTTAAAAATCCCAACTTATTACAGTGCATTTTTGCATTGTTGCTCCTTCCCCAAAAAATACTCTTTATGAGTGTAAGATAAGATTTAAGAAATGCTTCAATTTAATCATAGTTGTGTACACTTGGCTAATAGAGCAAAAATCTATTTGTTACTGATCTTTGTCAAAATAAAGGGCACATAGAAAGACTTGAATGAAGTTTTATGACGAGCGATCTAATCAAATCTGTTCTTAATAGCTTCTTCGATCTTAGATAAAATTAGGCAGAATCTTGAAAACTTATCAGTTGTGTGTAGAACAGAATGTGTTATCAGCGACTTCATACACTCTTGGTATTGTAATGAATTTATATACTTGCAGCTTGGAGTAAGTGCTTCAATAAAAGCGCGATTGATTATTATTTTGTGTTTTTTTTTAAAATGCTATAAAATCATCGTGATTTCCTCTTCAGGAGAAAACATTTGAGTGATAATCATATCAGATCTTAGCATGATGTTCGTAAAAACGTACTTCATTTGCAAACTGTGCATAAATAAATGAATAAATAAATAAAATAATTATTAGTTCGAATATATGAATATATATCAGAATATATGATAAGTATCAAGCTGCGATGCATATATCCACATATAAGCATATAATATGATTTTAATCACCTATTAAGTCACGAACTAAATCATCGCAAGAACATTTCGGTAAGTCAATCGAAATAACATAATTTTTACTGCAAGTCTGTCAAAGGATTTGATAAATGACGTTACAAGTACGCTCGCTCGCTGATGACGCAGCAATTCTATTTTCATTTAATGATCCCCTGAATGCTTCCTATGAATGAAAAATTCATTTTTCAACAAAATATCCCTTTGGCTAAACAAATGGTATATCAAAATAAATGCTAAAAAATCTACGCATATTACGTTAAGTAACGATCCGTGTCTTTCATAAGTTTTGAATGACAATTCAATTGCAGCACAACACAATTGTGTAAAACGTCTTGGCTTACATACTGACAAAAGATTAACATGGAAAAATCATGTTGAAGCTAAACGCCAGCAACTTGACTTAACAACTAAACGACTCGATTGGATAATTCGTTCAGAATCTCAGCTTAATCCATCAAGAAAATGATTAACGTATTTACAAGCATATCTTTCAACATATTTGCGGTTACGTCATGCCACTATGGCAACAGCCAATACAACAATAACAAGGAATATTGAAATACTCTAAATATATCAATCCAATATCCTTTGAATTATTGCTAATGGTTCGTTAGAAACTCAGCCATTTATGACGACCTAGACGTTGCAAAATGTCTTGCCAGGCTGAGCAATCATGTAAATCCCTGGACAATATCTCTTTTGCCTGAGTCCAAACTGACATACTGGATTTTCTATTTACGGATCAATTTAATTATCATTTCAATGAATTTTCCGAGTTTATATAGTTTCTTATTATACCCATCGCCGAAGGATGAGCGGAATTTTATTGCGTATGCCACGCCGATCAGGACGTTTGACAAACAACGTCAAAGTCTGAATCGATTTAAGTATGTTCGTTCTGTCCGTCTGTCCGTCTGTCCGTCTGTCCGCCTATTTAGCCTCTGCTGGAAACATTCTCTGGAAAAAGTGAAACTATCGATCTCAAATTGCACGTTGCCACCAAATCGGTCGAAAGATATGTCAACAGTAGTACGTAAACTGGACACACTTCTGTTTTTGAAAAGGCGTAAGTAAATTGGTTTCTTGTTCATCAATTATAAACTACAGCAGATAAATCTACAAAAATTGGCGAGTACAACATTCTACAAGCGCTGCTGTACTACCTGTACAAAAATGGAAAAATTGATTTGTACCCAATATATTCGCATATCAAAACTTCATTCTTTTTTCAATACATTTTTATGGCACGCAGAGGCGAGCTTCGAAGACTCCATAAAGTATATAAATTCTTGGATAGTTTGAAATTCAGAATGCACCTAAACATGTTCATCCGTTTGTCTGTCCATCTGTCCGTCTGTGCAGCTCTACACTATCAATAGTAAAGATTATCTCGTGTGCAGGAATAAAGATGTCGCCTACAAACTTCCGGAAGAATTTTAAAATGCCACACACTTTTCAAACAACTCCCACACATCTTTGTAACGATAACGATGAATACCTTTGCTTTTCATATTTTTTTGCTTATTACTCACAAACTACGACACATACACCACATCAAGTTCCAGTTTAATTCTGAAAATAGGAAAAGTTAGTCGTTTGTACGCAATACTAGAGAGCAGAAAAATTTATATCTTTCCCTTTGCTTAGGATGACGATGATGGGTATAAAAGATTTTGTCATAAAATTTTCTTGCTTTTTATTTATTTAAACATCATATCTATATTGTCATATTGGCCCACTTTTAGGGACATTAACCTTCAGTCAGTTTTCTCATCTTGATCTTGAGCTTGGTTCTCTCATCTTTACTTATTATCTTTAAAAAAAAATTACTTACAAATATATTTTGAATTTTTTTACTCAAAAACTTTCGTTTATTTTTTTAGTAATTGCAAGCATGCTTGGAGGTAACCTTCTGCCTACAGACTTAGGCCATATATATATATATATAAAATAAAGTTTTAGTATTCTATCGCAAGTTGCTAAACGTCAACAGGAAGAGGATATAGCAACGAATTGTCTGAGACATTGGCAGAGCATTGTCCTATGCTGCATAAAAATTAAAGCTTTTCAAAGAAAGCTTGTGACCAGAAATTCGACTAAGAACCATAGGAGCCGCTTATATGACTATGCAGCCATTTTGTTTTTCGTAGCTTTAATTAATTTCTTCATAGTGGATAATTATTCTGATGGTCTAATGTGCCTTTAAAGTGACCGCAAAAAAGAATATAAGGGCTCCTCGGAAAGGAAATCTTAAGAGTTTTCTGATAACTCTGACGGGGAAAGTATTATTTTGTGCTACAATGATATTCCATTTCCATTGATAAGGGACATTGTATATTTTCAATGGTCTCGGGACGAGTTCTCAAGATTAGTTAGGCTCTCTCTCTCTCTCTTCGTTCTGCTAAGTAGGTTATGCTTTGATGGCCTTTTAGTTTGCACATGGACTGATATTTAGAATTATTTCGATTTATTGCACAACTAACTGCCTCATCTTTCCAGTGTGCGATAGCCCTAAACTACATAGAGAAGAAATAGACTTCACAACTTCACAACATTCGAAGGTGTACCTGCACTGATGCACACGATATAGGCAGATTCACTGTACATCATTTGCTCCCTTACTTCCGTTACAAATGAATAAGTTCTCGTTGCGATAAGAGTTTGCGTTATAATCCAGCTTAACGCGGTACGTAATCGTTATCAAGAACCGACAACTTATTGTGAATGTCAATCTTATATCTATGCTAAATACCTATGATAGTTGTTTAAAGGCTTAGGAATGCATACGATTGCATCAATCAAACACTTGCACTTGCACATGCACTTAACAAACAACTCTGTAAAATTGTAGATACTTAATGTTCAAATGAAAGCGGAGACAGCTTTCCTATTTACTCTTGCTCGTACATACATAAAATTGTTGAGAGACAAATCCGCATTCGCATATCATTCACATTTCCATTCCGATTCGCAGCCGTATCAATCGCTATACTATCTATTTACCCAAATCATTACTTGTCTATGCATACGCTGGCGTAGCATTGTAAATGTAAACAATGTTCATATGTGTTGAATTGAAATCGTTCCGTTTCCCTTTATGTTTGCCGCATTTACTTTGAAATATTTTGCACGCTAAGACCATTAACTGGCTAAGAGATATAATATATACACATGCGCATGCAATTGTAACATACATATAAGGATAAAAATTACTCAGTACAAATATTTTATCTAATTAGTTAGTTAGTTAGATATCATATACACGCATACATACATTCCGTGATGAGATTTTCTTTGTACAGTTTTATTAGCAGTCACTTATTGTTCGCAGACTACTACTGGCTTTAGTTAACTGTATAAAAACTACTATGCAATTACACATACATTTTATTTGCATTTCTGTTAACAGTTATTATGTGCATTTATATACAAATAGCAATACATGCAAAGTTATTTTATTTGTGTAAATTTGCATTTGTTTGTGTATTATTGTGTTTTTAATATCTGCTTAACGATACAATAACAACAAAATGCTTTTAGTTATAATTTCACACAAACATATTTTTTTTCCACCTTCTTCATGTCCATACGCTATCCACGTTTATTTGTATGTGCACATGCTTCACATACCATCAGTGTAGCAAGGCTGTAGTCTTAATATTTTTCCTCTCCACGGAGAGGGGAGAGAGACGGAG